GCTCCCTGGCTGGGGACCTCGGGATGATGGTCACTGATGGTTAGCTACACAGTGATATGGCTGGGTGTCGCAAACAGTGGCGCTCTTGCATCCACTCGTTATTTTCCTAACACCACTATATTAATTCTCCATCTTCCACTTGAATTTGCTTCGACATTCCCATCTTCATTTCGCTCTTTCATCCAAATGGGCAACCAAAAGACAGCAACCAAAACCGGCACATGGTGCATGGTTAATGGTTGTAACAACTGAACTGAACTGAACATACCCACACAACCTATGAACACATTTTTCAGATTTATTTCTGTTCGTATATTGTGGCACATTTGGCAGTTCTCTGTAATTGGTTTTGTGTTGAAATAATAATGATAAATAAATCCAGTCTAAGGACGAATAGCCCGATCGATAGATTCTGTNGCCTGGAAAATTTTGGAATTTTTTTTTCTGTTTCAAAGTGTACGCCTGAGATTGAAATATAGCGGTCCGGCATCATTTCCATGCACAATTGCAGAGCCAGACAATCTTGAACGGCTAAAGCGCAGCGTCACACACCTCATCGCTGGGATGCTGGGGATCAACTACGACAGACCCCTGCAGACTACATAGTGTTTCACATGTATTGCACACACATCTGAATCCCGATTGTATGGCAAACAAATCTTAGTACGAGGATCTTTTTTTAAAAAAAATTCATGTGTTTGTGGGCGGAGTACCGCCAGGTTGCCCAGATCAAGGCAGGTGAACTTTCCCGTGGAAGTCACAACCGGAGCCTTCGGTTAACCAAAGCATAACCTGCAAGACAGCAGGACAGTGTGTAAAACCGACTATCCATTGAGATCTGTTGCCCAATACTTCGGAGCATACACCCTTTGGACAGGGTCAAACGTCCAAGGTAGCAAATAAAATTTGATGCCTGATTGAACCGGTGAAGACTACCACTACCAAGGTGTGAGTGAGATGGCTCGTACGCCTCTTTTCGGTTGGTTTGGAATCAGGGTTTTAGCCATTTCCACTAGGTAAACTGCCAGTGATTCACCGACCCGGCTATAGCCCGGGATTCTGGCCTTTTGTCCTTTCAATCTGGTGGGGAAGCTCCTCCACTGCGGAAGACAGTGAGCAGGGCTTCCTCAGCAGAGAGTGTTTGAGACGCTTGGTCATGTAAGAGCATTTTTGGTGGAAGGGAACTGATTAACGACGGCTCGAGACACCCACCCCGACCTGAGGCTTTCGGAGGCTTACCGGGGAGCGAGAACAGATATGGTTCGTATCAGACGCGTAATCCGCGGACACATGGGCGTTGAAATACAAGCGCTATTCCCGTTTCGAGATCACAGTCGCACACACTAATTCGAACAAAGCAGTTCTCGGTTAGACTCTGACTGGTTTACCACCTATTCCGGTGGGGAACTGCCATGTGAAATATGCTTCCGGCAGACGTACCGGAAGAAAACGGCAACAAAATGTTCAAGCGCCAGTTAGACGAATCACCTGATCAGGTGGTGGCAGGACTTGTTCACCTAAGTCATGCCACTGAGCTGCCACAAGGGACCCATACGGGACTACACCCACTGTCTACAAGAAAAAGAGCGACTATCAGAGGGTGACTACTCGACAAGATAATATAAATCTCGCAATTATTCTGCCCGAGCTGGGCTTTTCAAGCCTAAAGTTGTACCCCTAAAAGATGACATTGCAGTTGGTTTGAATAATCAATTTGGTTCAGCTCCTATTTGTGATTATACAGGTTAGGATAAATCCCCCTCGTCTTTCTATATTGATAGAACAAATCAAACTAGAGGGGCCTTATGTGGTTCGCCACTCCAAGTTCCAAAGCTTGGGTTACCGGTTTTCATCATTGAGCAGCAGGTCCTCGTGACCACCGGACTTTCCCCATCTGCTTTTTTTCAAACTAAGGTATGTTATAAGAAAGGCACTCAGGATGACGGATATAGATGAGACCTGCAAGCCCATGAATCATACGGGTTCCAACCCTGACCACCCTTCTGGAACTCGTATCCATCACTAGACATTGTGGATTTGAAACTGATCGATGAGAGACTAGTCAATAAGTCTTCTTACGAATCTCGTAATGCGTGTGACTTCCTATTGTATCATGACCCGAAGTAGTCGAAAAACATGTGATTCTCGGTGAGGTTTATTGGGTTTATCGTGGTACCGGAAAGTTTTAAATAAGTGGAGGAGACTAAATAATACAAACAACTAAACGCAATGGCATAGTAAAAATGTGTCACAGGAAAATTTGTGATCAGTGAAAGACAAACAGAAAAGTAACGTAGCATCACAGTCAGAGTCATAATTGATTGAAAAAACGAGTGCAAGTTTCATTGTGGACTACTCCTTTTGTTCGCATAATCACGATGAGATTGCACCTTGACGTGGTGTGATGGCTTGTGCACCTCTGACCCAATGAGCTACGCAGGATTGCTTTTTTCAAGCCAGAGATCTAATCGCCTGGAAGGTCGAATGTTAGAGGTTGGACGAAGTCCAGTCTCCTGGTCCCCCAGATTGGGGGTTCGACTAGAATTTGCGTTTCAGTCGGTAAAAAGTGGTGGAGTAATCGATCCAAGTAAATGGGCCTCCGCTTTGCTTCACCCGCTTCCTTGGGGCTAGGTTCTAGCCAGAACCAAAGGCTTTGGTTGAGAACCCTAATTGTTCTCCTGATTAGTAGCTGGGCATCCTAGCAGTACCCGTCCGTCAAACCCCAGTGCATATGCATTGCGAGTTTGGCAGCGATCAGTAAAGTTGGCCCCTTTGTATTTCGCCGTACGATGATGATGATGATGATGCATAATCAATACGACTGCAGTGTCTCGCTAGAAATTAAGCAAAGGCTTTGGAGTCAGTATATAGTATGGAAACGGGCAAAGCAATCGTTAGCGAGTGTGGTCGTCATCAGTATCGTCCAGAGAAATACAGTGAAGCGAACTTGGATGATCTCTGCCAAACTCGATGCTAAGTGTAGACGTAATTCAGGGCACGATAGCAGAATCGTTGATATGTTTGGACTTTAGTCGAACACGAACCAGACGCGTTGCCTCAGAATTCAGTATAATAATCATATTGACATCCTCAGCCACTCCTTGGATGTGTCACAGCATCCAAATCGTTAGTCGTAATATAGTTTTATATGAGTCCTGTCGTTTCTATCGCCGGAGATCATAGGCGTGCCAGAGCAAACGTAGTAGACCATGTGTCCATATATATGGGTTGGTTCAGCACCCAGCCTCACTCTAACCGGGGAATTGATGGAGCAAGCGAATAAGTTTCGTTATTTGCGCAGCCAAGTCTCACCCGGTGGACGCGTCACGGATGAAGTATCAGCTTGCATACTAGAGGATCGATTGGCATTTACTAACTTGAGAAATCCTATAATAAAACACGACAACGAGCATATAATTCCGCATCAATGGTGTCATGTGTATGATGCACTTCGCTAAGAAATGGTTAAATTTCGTTTGAGTGGCAAAGGATTTCTGGACTGAAGGCACTGGTCGCTCAAAATCATTTCTTGTACGACCTATTTTTGAATGCAAGTGTTTATGTGACAATATCCAGATTTCATTGAAAAACAAACCTATCCTTTCATTAACCTGTTTCTAAAGTGAATATTCTGTTGGAAAAAGCGAAATTACATATTCTCATTAATCCGAATACGTTAACCTTGCTATTCGCATAACACAGTATGTCATAGACGTATCATTTGTTTCAGTTTCGGCTTTCACAAACACAGACTGTACACTTTCATGCGCCGGTTTTGGTTGCTGTCTCAGGACTGCCCATCACATAAACGTCAAAGTGAGAATAGAGAATTCGTAGACTACCATTGCAAGGGCAATGATGGTGGTGATGGATCAGTGGTTTATTCGCGGTCACCGGTGTGGTTTTGACTCTATGGCCCGAGGTCTGAGCCTCGCCACCGCCACCCAACTTTAGTGATAGACAGCTTTGGTATAGTCTGGCTCAATACCACACCTAGCGGGGCCTCATGTGGTTCATCACTCCAAGTCTCGGGGCTTAGATTACCAGTTTTCTTCACTGAACAGTAGGTCTTTGTGAGCATGGTGGTTCACTCCATCTGCTGTTCATCATGCAAATGTGTGTAATAAAAAAATCACGGGCGCTACTGTCTACGACACAGTCATATCACTCAGTATCACTAAGCATTGATTACAATATTCCCAATGTCTTTATCCAGGAAGCCTAACGCGACCCACATGAGCAATTCTCCTGTTCAGAGTTTTCATATCCTCATACCAGGTTTCAGTTTGATCATCCGTTATAGAAATTGCATCGCTTATTTGGGTTGAGCAAGAAAACTAGAAAATGAAATTTTGTGCATACATGTAATTTGTGTACTGCTGTGTCTTGTGCCAAGATGATATGATCGATACCAGCGCCTCCTGACTAGGTCCGACAGACGGAGAGAGAACACGCCTGATAAGCGACAGAGTATATCATTGATCATGAAGCAATACGCAAATATCTGGCAAATTAGGCGCACGAGAACGACGTGATGAAGCACCAATCAGGTTGCGACCTTGATACTCCGATTGGTCGATCGGACGACAGCTGTCTGATTCGCCTTAGTCATCCAATCCGAAATCGATTCGGCTTGGGTGTCACGAACGCACTTGTGGCGTGACGCTGGTCGATGCGTAACCGGACGGATTCTGCGCGCTCNCTAATCTCTACTTTTTATCCAACGCTCCCGTTGATGTTTTGTTATCTTTTGATACCATACGTTTCTCCCGGTGCTTGCTGATGATTAAGAAAAAAACAATATTGCGTATTTTTTCCACTTTAGGTTAGATGCAACACTTCGAGAGCTTGCTTCTTTGGTGAAACAGGTTAATCCAGAATCCCGTCGACGTGGCACAATTTTCGATTTTGCCCTGGTCTCTCCAGACGTTCGTTCGCCATCCTACAGAATGCGTGAACTGGGTGCAGTTTGCTCCGGATTTCCTTCCGACACGGATCGAATCATGCTTAAGGTAATGAACTGCATTCATGCTCACCTCTACCATTAAATGAATTTCCCTGGATGGTGGCAGTAGTCCTGGTCAGGCGTTTTAATGAGCACCGCTCAAAGTTTGAACTCCACGGCCTCTGCTCAACTTTGATGGTTCTTTTCAGCGCCACATAATTTGGGACCTTATTTAGCTCGTGTATCCAAGTGACGGAGGTTAGGATACTGATTATTGTAATAAAAAGTAGGCCCTAATGGTTATGGTTCGCTCCTCATACTAACAATCATAAACAGGTGATGTAGGTGAGTAAAGAGCTGCATGACTTCCGTGAGAATTTCAGTTTCAGTTTGCGAAACCACTAACCATGCACTATAGTGCGCCGGTTTTGGTTGCTATCTTTCGGCTGCCCATTTGGGTGAACATTAGGAGAAAGACAGGGAAGGTTGAAAGTAGGATCAAAGAGAAAATTGAAAATTTCAGTGGATTAATGATACAGAGAAATTGAGAAAATGCATGAACGCCACTGTTTATGCCACCCAGCCATATCACTCAGTGTAGCTAACCATCGGATACGACCATCCCGAGGTCCCCATCCAGGGAGCCTAACGGGACCTGTGTAACCCAAACTCCTGGTTAGGGTTTTCATACCCTCATACCAGGTCTTAGCTTGACCACCTTGGGATTTCTTCCACCCGCTACCTGCCTCGGCAAACATCGCTCGCCGTGGCAGCCTATTTAGTGATATGCGTAACACATGTCCCAGTCAACGTAATCTATGGAGGTCGACCGCTTGCCCCAGTGGGTGACNCCTTGGGATTTCTTCCACCCGCTACCTGCCTCGGCAAACATCGCTCGCCGTGGCAGCCTATTTAGTGATATGCGTAACACATGT